ACCAAAATTACTAAATTCCGATAACAATTTGACCCCCAAATCCTCAAATCTTTCCAAGAGGGTTTTCAACTTTTCCAACTTAAATCACAGACTAAATGCTAACATTAGTAATAGATTCGGGTAATCTAACCAAAATTGAGTTAAGAACACTTACCCCGTTGTTTTCTCTGAAAATCCCTCGAAAAATTGCCCCACCCGAGCTTCCTTGGTCCCAAAATGGAAGAATGGGATGAATTTGGACTTTATTCTGCTGCCCAAGGGTTTGTTCTTCACGTTCGCGATCCTTCTCTCGCGTTCGTGATGAACAAATTCCTCATCGGCGATTTCCAAACTCATTCCAAACAACCTTTAATATAATGGTCATAACTTTTTGCACACAACTCCAAATGACAAATGGTTTAATGTTCTGAAGACTAGACACCAAGGGCTATAGTTTCATAGGTTTCTCATTTCCTGAGCCATTATATATTGCAAGATATAAGCTTCCAAAGTCAACCCTATACAGCAGAGATTTTCGAACTCTCCCCGGGCAGCCTGTAGTGTAACTACCATAACTTTGTGTACACAAATCTAAATGCCAATTAATTTAAATTTCTGAAAACTAGACACAAAGTGCTACAACTTTACTTTTTGGATCATCTCCAAATTCTATGAGCCTCCGAAGTTAGACCTGTGCAACCGAGATTTCCTTCTTCGCGAACGCGGGAGTCTCTTCGCGAACGCGAAGAACAAACTTCCAGAAGCCAAATTCTTCTTCGCGAACGCGAAGAACAACACCATATATCAGAAAATCAGCATCCAAAGTAGCCCAAAATGATCCGAAACACACCCGAGTCCCTAGGGACCCCAACCAAATATACCAACAAGTCCTAAAGCATGATATGGACTTGGTCGAAACTTCAAATCACATCAAACAATGCTAAAACCGCGAACCACACCCCAATTCAAGCTTAATGAAACTAAGAACTTCCAACTTCTATATTCGGTGCCGAAACCTATCAAATCAAATCCGATTGACCTCAATTTTTTGCACACAAGTCATTAATGACATAACGGAGTTAGGAAAATTTTCAGAACTGGATTCCGACCCCGATATCAAAAAGTCAACTCCCCGGTCAAACTTCCAAACTTAAATTTCTTATTTTTGCCATTTCAAGTCTAATTTAGCTACCGACCTCGAAATAAATATCCGGATACACCCCTAAATCTGAAATCACCATACGGAGCTATTGGAATCATCAAAAATTCATTCTAGGGTCATTTACACATATTTCACCTTCCGATCAAATTATTCAACTTAAGCTTTCTTCTTGGAGACTAAGTGTCTCAATTCATTTCAAAACCTCATCGGACCCGAACCAATTACCCCGACAAGTCACATAACAACTGTAAAGCATGAATTTAGCAGTAAATGAGGAAACGAGATTGTATTATTCAAAACGACCGGCCAGGTCATTACATACATGCAGGGGATACACCCCTTTGAGCCCCTGAATAGGCCAAGTGGGCCTCCTCTAAAGCCGTCAATTGAGGAAGCTCCAAAATTGGAGCTTAAACCCCCGCCCCCTCACCTTCAATATGCTTATTTGGGAGGTTCTTACACTTACTGTTATTGTTTCTTCTGACTTGTCTAAATTGCAGAAAGAAAAGCTATTGAGAGTGATACGTGAGCACAAACGAGCAATTGGGTGGATGATGTCTGACATTAGAGGCATTAGTCCAAGTTTCTGCATGCATAAAATCCTCATGGAGGACGGACACAAGCCAAGTGTAGAGCAACAACGCCAACTAAATCCAATCATGAAAGAGGTGGTAAGAAAAGAAGTGATTAAGTGGCTTGATGCAGGTATTGTATTTACAATCTCTGATAGCAAATGGGTAAGCCCTGTCCAATGTATACCTAATAAAGGGGTGATGACTGTAGTGGTTAATGAAAATAATGACTTGATTCCCACAAGAACTGTCACCGGGTGGAGAATTTGCATAGATTATAGAAAATTGAACAATGACACCCGCAAGGACCACTTTCCCCTCACCTTTATTGACCAAATGCTTTATCGATTAGCTAGCCAGGAATAGTACTGTTTCCTACATGGTTATTCGGGGTATAATCAGATTGCTATAGCCCCAGAGGACCAAGAGAAAACCACATTTACGTGTCCCAATGGCACGTATGCGTTCAAGAGAATGCCCTTTGGTCTCTGTAATGCACCTGCGACTTTTCAAAGGTGTATGATGGCTATTTTTACTGACAGGTTGAAAGATTTGTGGAAGTGTTCATGGATGATTTTTCTGTGTTTGGATGCTCTTTTGATAATTGTTTAATGAATCTTGATAAAGTGCTTGCTAGGTGTGAAGAGACGAACTTGGTGCTAAACTGGAAAAAGTGCCATTTCATGGTACGTGAAGGTATAGTCCTAGGGAACAAGGTGTCCAAAAGCGGTTTGCAGGTGGACAAAGCGAAGGTGGAGGCGATTGAAAAATTGCCCCCACCGACATCCATCAAAGGCATTCGTAGTTTCTTGGGCCATGCAGGTTTTCATCGTCGTTTCATTAAAGATTTTTCAAAAATTTCTTCTCCTTTGTGCAGGCTTCTTGAGAAAGATGTCCCCTTCAAGTTTGATGATGCCTGTCTGAAAGCATTTGAGGAGCGGAAGGGAAGGTTAGGGACTGTACCAATTATCATTACTCCGGATTGGGAGCAGCCATTTGAGTTAATGTGCGATGCGAGTGACATAGCAATCAGAGCTGTTTTGGGACAAAGGAGAAATAAAATCTTTCACTCCATTTACTATGCGAGCAAAACTCTGAATCCAGCCTAGATGAACTACACAGTTATTGAAAAAGAGTTGCTTGCAGTGGTGTGGGCGTTTGACAAGTTCAGATCCTATCCAGTGCGAACCAAAGTCATCGTCTATACAGATTATTCAGCTATCAGATACTTGTTTGAAAAGAAAGACGCCAAGCCGAGGCTGATTTGTTGGGTCTTCCTCTTGCAAGAGTTTGACTTAGAGATCCAAGATCGAAAAGGGACAGAGAATCAAGTGGCTGATCATTTTTCCAGATTAGAAAATCGGAGCCATATAGCTGAAGGAGGGTCAATCAAAGACTTTCCTCTCTTATTCTAATGAACTTATTAGATAAATTTATAATAGTGAAATTGATAGATAAAATATTATAACAAAGTTTGAGTTTTTCTATTAAATGAATTATGTAGATGATTATGTAAATATAATATTATTAGTGCGATTGTGATACTTTGGGACGTTTCAAATAGAACTAGTCATATAAATTAAGAAGGATGGAGCATAATTAACTAATAACACCCTCGCTCATATTTATTTTCTTTTCTTTTATCGATCCATCCCACTAAACAAGACCTTAGTACCTTACGCGAAAATATTGATTTCTCTAACAATTCAATTTAATTTATCCTTTGTTATATTTTTGACACAAAAATGCCCCTGATATTAATATAATAGTTCAAATGTACTCCTCCTCCGTTAGATTTGTCCAAAGTGGACACTCAATTCATGTGGCACTATAATTTGATTATATAGACATCACGTGACATACCATCTGATCAGCCCAAATCAATTTTATCCCCTCTCTCTTGCATCACTGCACCTCCTCTCCTTTTACCATTATTGCCATCATCACTACCAACATACCATCATTTCTGTAATTTGTATTGAGCTGGAATTGACACAACCAACTGAGCTTGCTGGATGGAGTTCACAAACTACCGGTTCATCTAAACTCAATATTTTTAATATGAAAAATAAATATATGATAAAGAACCTCTAAAATTTCAATAAATATTATATTTTGAACTCATAATTTTAATAATACAATGAGTTTATGCTAAGTATTTTAAAGTTTGAATTCATCAATTTTAAATCCTAGATCCATCTTCTGAGTGGAGTTGTTCCATTTCGGTCTGACCCAACTCATCCACACTTTTCAATACTTGTGTTAACAGTTGAATTCTGTAAAAATTTATTGATCTAAGCAGGATGACATGTTGGTGCATGATTCGTAAAGTTTGACTAATTCTAAGAGACAAAAAGTTACACATAACTAAATTACTTGCCGTGTGGTGATATTTTTATATTTCATGTTGGGATTTCAACTAAGTCGGTGAATAACTTTTTTTGGTATATCCGTCGATTCTTTCTACCTTATATGTCATGATATTCGACTACGTTATACTTAATTCAGGGGCGGATCTGTCATGTAATTAAGTTATTGGCTCATGAAGTCAATATCTTGTGTTCAGATCTGGTATATGTATAAAAAAAATTAAATAAATATCTATAAGTATTTAAGTACGAGCTGAGCTAATATTTAAAATTATTATAAAAACTTATAAAATTAAATTCTAAATTCGCCTGATCCAATTAATCGTGATACTTGCATTTGAAAGCAAAGGATACTGAGTGCAAACGAAGTACTAAGAAGAAAGGGAAAATATTACGATACTGATGACAGTATAGTTGGTTTGACGAAAATTATTCTTTTGGGAAATATTTTTTCTCGATTAAATCTTTTCCTTATTTGATTATTTGAATTATAGAAAATGTTTTCTCTAGTAAAAATATCTTCTAATAAAAAAGGATTTTCACTTCTTTCACTTATGGGAGAGAAATCATTTTACTTTCGGAAAAGAGCCTAGGACGCCCCTTTACTATATGAAATAGGATAGGCTAGCTCTCCGTTAAAAGTTGGTCTCTACTCTGCCCTTGCCGTCAACAAATGGGCTCGTATATGCTCTCCATCACTAATGGAAGACTCATAATAAAGCCACATGGATTTAAAAATGCCACACGTATATGTGAGGGCAAGTTAGACCCAATTCGAATTGTACAGGGGCATATATGAGTCAGTTATAATAGTCATTTCTCAAATATTTCACAACTCCATATCAGTTTACTTAGACTCTTATTTGACAATACCAAACTAATTATCAAAGCAAATAAACTCAGTCATAGACACAAACATCCAAATGAACGGCAATGACTTCATTAAATCCTTGCACAAAAACATAAAGCTTCATTACATAACAAAAGACAACAATTAAGCCACAATAACACTAACATTACATATCATTTCCCCCTGATCCAAAGAACAATACAAAACATCCTAAATCACACATATGAAAATTCACATCTTCTTCTGAAATTTAGCATCAAGCACAGCTGCATGAGTACTCTAAATTAGCCACTTTCTTCATTAGAACATTTCTTTCCAATTCCAAGGCTTCTATTCCTCCATGATCGACGATCATCATAACATTCTCAAGATCGACAACTTTCCTTTGGAGAGCCTTTCTTTCACGGATTAGAGCTTCATTAAACTACATATGAGATTTGAAACTCTAGGAGGAAGCTCTTATCTTGCCATTCCCAATAAGAACATATTTCATCCTAAACACCAAAAATAAATAAAACAAATTTACAAGCAAATCGGAATAATTAAAAGAACCCATCAAAAAATTTACATACCTCATGCTTGGGGCACCTGAAAAACCTTCTCCCAGCATTTAAAGGAGTCCACGCCATGAAATAATTGGTAGCAAGTCCACAACGACACCTCTTATTCGACCCGTTTGAGCTACTACAACATTCCGACATTGTCTTATAGAAATTTTCAAAATAAACCGAGAAAGATGAAAAAGAATTAAACCTAAACTAGAACCCACCTCGAAATCGGCAAAGTGACCCAATTAGTGGGAGAAATGATACATCAAGAAAGTAAATTTTTCTGAGGGAGAAGGTTTTGATGGGATGAATTAACCTAATGCTTATATTAGGTAAAGATTGAGGGTGGGCCAGGGGTGCGATAGGGAATTAAGAGGGGTGGGAGTATTTTTTAAAATTCATGTGGCTTTTTTAATTAGGTTTGTATTTTTAAAATGTAAAATTATATTCCACGTGGCTTTATGAGTCTCTCCCGTTAATGATGGAGGACATATATGAGCTCATTTGTTGACAGCAAGGGTAGAGACCAACTTTTAGTGATGGAGGGCTAGCATGTCCATGCTATATGCTTCAATGAACACATATATAGACGTCAATATCAACATTTAATTCTTAAAAAATATTAACATAACACTATTCTTGTATCCTATATCATACTCATCATTGTATTAATGTCATACCTCACATACCTTTAATGATGCAAAAAAATTAATTAAAACTATTTCTTCAAAAAAAAAAAAAAATTGTAACACTTTTCCTCCGTACTGAACGCACATATAGCTAGCTATGAATCTGCTGCCTAGTTCATACAGTTTTGTCTCAGAGTCTTCAGAGTCCAATAAATCTCGTTCCAACCTATTTATTGTAACGGATATTTCTTTTTTTTTTTTTGTGGCAATTTGGGAGTATTATTTTATGTAGAAGACGGCTGTTTAGATTTTAAAAAGTTTTGTCATGTTAATATAAATGAATCTAAAAAGTGGAAATACAGCTGGTTTTAAAATAAAAAGTATTTGTAAGTCTATTTTACACAAAAAAACGATATTAATTGAAATAATATACAACATAAATATAAGGCACTTAGGGTGTGTTTGGTAGGAAGGAAAACATCTTTCGGAAAATATTTTCCAATTTTTCCGTGTTTGGTTGGCTTAGATGTTTTGGAAAATATTTTTTCCTCATGAACAAAAGAAGGGAAAGCATTTTTCAAAACTCTTCTTCAACCTTCCCAACCCTATTCTCATCCCCATCCACCACCCTACCATACCCCATCCCTACCCCCACCCCCACCACCCCCACCCACTCTCCCCCAACCCCAACCCGCCCCACCTTAAATGAAATATTATTAAGAGTACTTTCTTTTCATGTTGTAGATAGAGTATTTTCTTTTTATTTCAACAAAATGAGTTCTTTTTAATGATGTAAAAAAAGTATTTTCTTTCATTTAAACAAAAAAGTACTTTATTTACATGATGTAGAAAAAAAAATTTCTTCTATTTCAACAAAATGATGTAATAAAAATTATTTTCTTTCATTTCAACAAAATGAGTATTTTCTTTTTATAATGTAGAAAAAGTGTTTCCTGTCATTTTAACGAAATGAGTACTTTTTTCATGTTGTAGAAAGAGTACTTTCTTTTTCAACGAAAAAAAGAGTATTTTCTTTATAGTTATGGAGCACAAATTTTAATGTTGGTTTTGCCTGAAAAAGTAAAGCAGCACTTTAGTCCCTTTTGGTTTGTGTGATTTTTTAAAAATTAATTAAATTCTTGAAAAAAATAAAGTCTAAAAAACATTGGGTATTTGGAGGTTTTGGGAGGGGGGGGGGGAGGGGGGGGGAAGGGAGGGAAGCACAGGACACATGGAATTAGGGGGAAGAAGGGAGGATGGGAGAGTAGCATAAAAAATTATTTTCTTAAATAATATTTTCTACTCTCTAAACAAACATTAAAAAATATTTTGCTGAAAAAGTTTTTCACTCACCAACCAAACAAGAAAAAATAAGTGATAAAATCACTCATTTTCCTAGAAAAATATATCCATAAAAAATATTTTTCTTCGTACCAAACACACCCTTGATTCCGAAATTGGGAGCATTATAGGTCTTCCCCACAAAATTAAAAAGAAAAAAAGAGCAATGCGTAAATTATGACTTTGTCAAAGCTATAACACGGATGAAATTGACAAGTAAACCATGTAATGACATCAGCGGGATTTTGACCTGATGTTGCCCATGTTTTTTTTCAACGAAGTCGATGAATAAGCTGTTTTTTGCTTTTTGTTTTTCTACCGAATTTAGGTTGTAGCAAAAGTGCTTTTTATCAACCAAAAAAAAAAAAGAGTTTATTGGCTCGAACCATATAATTAAAAATGATGGGGTCCTATCCATCTCACTACAACATTAGTGTTGCTGAAAATGAGTTCAATAGAGTCAATTTAATCCATTATTTTCAATACAGAGCATATCATATATATGGATTGAATTCACTCTATCGAACAAAGTTATTAACATTTTGATAAATATTACGAACTTAAAAGTTAATTCATCACATTTAAATTACAGATCCGCATGCTTATTGCCAAAAGTTTATTATATTAGATTCTAAATCAAACTAATGTAATAAAATTAAAAAAAAAAAGGTGAAATAGCACATAAGCGACAAGATAAATTTGGTGTAAAGTGTAAGCAAGGTAAAAAAAAGCATTCTTGTTATAACTTCCGGAATCATGACTTTCAAGAATTGCTATACTCGGTCTTTAATGTGACTCCTTTAATCACATCAAGCTCCTTGAGTATATACTTCGAGTCGGCATTGCTCCAGACGACTAAGATTTTAAGTATTTTAACTTAAACGACTAAGATATAAATCAGCTGAGGGCCTGAGGCTCGTGCACTTATATTTTTTCTTTCTTTTCAGTTTATGAGAGCGTTTAAATTTAACTATGTTGAGTTGAACTAACACTACTAGAATTCCGGAAAAAAGCAACCAGCAAAAGCGACCAACGTTGGTCGCTTATTGGCCAAAAAGCGACCAAAAAGCGACCAACCACGCCTGGTCGATATTAAGCTGGTCCCTTTATCTTAGGGACCAAAGTTGGTCGCTAAATAGCGACCAACGTTGGTCTCCCAGGTAAAAGGACCAAATTTTCCGGGTAAAGCATATAGCGACCAACTTTGGTCGCTCAAATATTTTAATATTATATATTTGGCGACCAAAGTTGGTCTCCAGATGTAAATAACGTTTTTATTTTTATTTATTTTTAATCATATTAAGCGACCAACTTTGGTCGCTATATCAATAAATGTTATAATTTTTTATTTATTGGGCGACGCCAATGGAAAGAATTAATTTTTTTTAACTATAAGCGACCAACCTTGGTCGCAAAATTACCAGAATTTTTTTTTAAGTGAATAGCGACCAACTGGACACCAAAGTTGGTCGCTTTTTTGGTATATTTTTGGCAAAAACTGCCTGTTTTGGCTGCTACACCACCTGCCAACTTATACCAAATATCCTAAACAGGCATTTTATGCCAGCAGCAACAACAACAACAACAAGAACACTAAAACGCAACAAAATATAAAGATCAATAGAACTAAAACATTAAGCTAACAAAACTAAGTTAACGTTTATTACAAGCTCATTCGAAAACTAATTCTATTGTCTAGTTCAAAGTATATAAAGTACTCAAGGAGTGTTCTTTTAGCATCCTCGTTCGAAAGTTGGATTGCCTCGGGCGACTCGTTAGGTGGCTGACTTCGTATGAATTCCCCCACATCAGCTCTGAAGCGAACCTATAAGAAAAATTATATTGAATTAATATTTCAAAATTTATATAAAAGTAAATCAAAATACTTAATGATAAGTAAAAAACTTACATGTATAGTCGATGCTCGACCCACCTTTCTGAATCAGTCTCTTTCTTCTTCTTTACAATACGAGTTTCATTGAATAGCTCATCTTGCTTCATTGGCATCATAAAGTTGTCCGGTGGCTTTGGTGATTATCCTCATGATACTATTACTCGGGATGAACTTGGATACAGAGAATAACTTGGATACAGTAGCTGACAGGGTGTGTCTTTTGATCAATTGTTGTTCTCGTTAGCGACAATGATGTTGAGACTGCAATGACATGTGTTTCAACTAGAGATGGTATAGGCAGGAATTTTAACATTTCCTAAGTAGATAAAAGAAAGATTATAGAGGAATTTTCTACTTCATTTTCCAAGGAGAAAAGAAGTTTAATTGAGAGTGACAAGGGTGATGGTGATGGAATATTTTCCGTTGGTCATGGCAGTTCTCATAAAACGGGGATCATAAGACTCTATGATGACAGAGATTATAGGAAGTTTTGTTCTCAACTTTCTTCCAAGTCTGATCCATACAAGCTTAATGGGATATTGGTGATATATTCTTCTGAATCCGAAGAATATATCACCAATATCCCACTAAGCTTGTACGGATCAGACTTGGAAGAAAGTTAAGAACAAAACTTCCTATAATCTCTGTCATCATAGAGTCTTATGATCCCCGTTTTATGGGAACTGCCATGACCAACGGAAAATATTCCATCACCATCAACCTTGTCACTCCCAATTAAACTCCTTTTCCTCTTGGAAATTGAAGTATAGAATTCCTCTATTACCTCTTCTTTTATCTACTTAGGAAATGTTAAACTCCTACCTACACCATAACTATTTGAAACACATGTTCTTGCCTTCTCATCATCGATGTCGCTAATGAGAAGGACAATTAAAGGCACACTCTGCCAGGTACTGTGTCTTAGTTATTCTTGGTGGAAGTTCCATTGCATGTCTAATATTACCATCAACCCCTTCTACAAAATCCTCCCGCAATCTAAAAGTCCAATACATAAACCAAAATTTTAATTCATATCTAAAGGTTCAACTCATATCCAAAAAAAAATTCAATTTATAATCTAAAATTCCAATTCATATCCTAAAGGTTCAAGTCATATCCTAAAGGTTCTAGTCATATCCTAAAATTTCAAGTCATAACCTAAAAGTTCATATCCTAAAGGTTCAACTCATATCCACAAAAGTTCAAGTCATATCCTGAAATTTTAATTTATAATCTAAAATTCCAATACATAAACTAAAAGTCCAATTCATATCCTAAATGTTCAACTCATATCCACAAAAGTTCAAGTCATATCCTAAAATTTCAATTTATAAACTAAAATTCCAATACATAAACCAAAATCTCAATTCATAAACTAAAAGTCCAATTCATATCCTAAAGGTTCAACTCATATCCACAA